GGGGGGGGGGGGGGGGGGGGGGGGGGGGTAATGAAATAATATAGTTACCTAAGGAAAATGTTTGCAAGAAAAGTGTATGAGATATGCTCTAGCCTCGAAAATAGGGGAAAATTACAAGTATGCTCTCCTTCTAGGTTACCCGGAAGTTGTAAGCATTTGTCCAAACAACACACAAATTGATATTTCTGCACTTCATTTTCGTTTTTAATAGAGTTTCTAACTCACTAGGTTAGGTGTACTCTTCTTGTCCACCCCCTTCTTTTTGTCTATAATGACTTGTTTCATTACTAGGCTTTTTCTACTACTATTTACCCCCAAGAAATTAGAAATATGAATTATCTCACCCTCCCTAACAAGAGCACATAATATGAAGCTACTTTATAATTTTAAAAGTTCCACTCTTCAGTTTTTTGTGATATTGCTAATTTATTTTTAATCTGGCAATTTTATTATTTGTGATGATAGTGGCATGTATGTGTAGTTCTCTAGTTATGTGTAGTAGTGATTCTTAAATTTATATGGCTATATGCTGACATTCTCTTGCTTGTTTGTTAACTGGGAAAGTATGCTTATTTCATCCAATACTCTTACAATGGCATTAATTTTTATTTACGTTTGCCATTGGGGATTATGTCTATTATACAGGTAAACAGATATGCATTCTCTGGTGGCCAAGATTCTATAGAGAAGCACAGATTATATGGAGCAAATCTCGAGGTACAAATTATTTCATTTATTGTTGTCCCATAAAGTTAACATTTAAAAAATAAAAAATAAAAACAATGCTGTATTAAATTTTACACATGATCCACGCAAGGAAATAGACTGATTTTATCGTCTTTAGTCTTTCTATTCATTTTAAGCTTAATGTATTAGTTTGCAATTAAGCACTGTTGACATATAGACCAAGATACAACATGGTACAGAATTACTATTATCTGGATAGGTTCATATCGTGCACCAAAAGGATTTTATAACTATTCCTCTTTGGTTTCTTCAAATTGGAATGCCCTTTTTACATCCTTGAAATTTCCATATCTGTTTAATTTATTTATTTGCAAATGAAATCTTTGTTTCTTATCATAAAAGGTATTTAAAAGAAGTTTTGATGTCGTTCAAAGTTCAAATGCGTGCTATGCATGGATACATCATGTTATGCCCCCCCTGCTTCCAAGAGTCTAGCCAACATTCAAGTTGGGTGTCTGAGGAAAATAGGAACTTGAAAATTAAGATTGCAAATTTCTAATGTGGTTTTTATCAATTGTACTATAAACCATACAGGTAGATATACCCATCAAATATTTGAACTTTTTCCTTGATGATGATGCTGAACTTGAACACATAACAAAGGTGAGATCTCTCATTCTATGGAGTTGGAATTTTTATGCCTCCTTTTTCATCTTTACAGAGGCTTGGCATGAGTAAAGAGCCTTTAGAAAAATAAAATAATTTTTAACATATTATTTCTCTCTTCAGGAGTATGGTGCTGGACGCATGCTAACAGGTGAAGTGAAGCAGCGCCTTATACAAGTATTGACTGAAATGGTAGAAAGACATCGTAGAGCTCGGGCTTCTGTGACAGATGAGGTAAGTTTGTTGCATTATTTGTGTGACGCATATTCATCCTCAAGTAGCCCTTTATCCTCTGCTCATGCCATCATAGTTAAACTATAAGCTCATAAGCTCAAAAGTTTCCGCCTGCTTATAGTTGTTGCATCTCCTTTCAGATGGTGGATGCGTTTATGGCAGTCAGACCCCTTCCTAATATGTTTGACTGAAGTAGTCGACATTCTTCGAACCGCCATTTATCATTGACCTGCATTGGATGCGACACGAAAGGGCGGGGGTTCATGTCTCTCGCTCGACCCACCAGTCGGATTGATTGTCTTAACTCGAACCAATTTTGAACATGAGGGTTTTTTCTTTTCCAACATAAACTTTCTATAGCCTATGTTTATCCAAATTTTATGTTGTTAGGGAAAGCTATTGTTACACACTGTTGTTTGGCAATAAATCTTGAGGTGTTTTGGGAGTGCTAATCCTTTTAGTTATCACAAGGGAAGCTCTAAGCCCTCAAAGCATTGGGCAACAGGATAAATTAATTTGAACTCCTTTTAAGTTTTGAAACTAATACTTTGGTCATTCAAATTTGAATTTAATTTCCATATATATATATATTAGTGAGTAGAACTTTTTATTATAGAATACCAATTAAAACCTTCAAAAGAAATCTAAATTTGAGAACTAAAAAATAAAATTTTAAAAAAAAAAAGCATGAGGGAGACTAGAATAAAAATAAAATATTTTGAAAGAAAAACACAAATGTTTTGATAAGTGATCGGGGCCGTTGAAAGGCAATGGAAAGACGATGGATTTGATGCCAACCGTTGAATTTCTTATTTTCTCATTTTTATTTTTATTTTTGAGTCAAAATTATTGCCCACATTTGCCTCGACATTGACTATTTAGCCCATAGATCTTGACCATAACGTTCTTTTTTCTTTTTCCCTCGTATGAATAATATGTATTTTCTCTCTCTCTAAACATATTGTTTCTCACTATTTTTAGTACGGCCTCTTTAGTTCTAACATGACAATTTAACTAATTTTGATTTTGAAAAAAAAATATTTAAAATGTGATTTTCCAACTTTTAAAAATTAATTATTTTAAAATTATTCCTAAATAGAAAAATTTGGGAGCCCACCTTATGAAACAGTCACATACATATATATATATATATATATATATATATATATTTTGGTGTAACCTTAGGGGTAGGGCCAAGACTTTATATTGTCATTTTCATTATATGTTCATCTACTTTTCAAAGGACTAAGATTTAATGCTTACGGAAGTGGACTTGGACTAATTCTAGGTGTCTCGACTTCTTTATAGAGACACCTCGACTTCTATTTGTTTGGTTCCATATGAATATAATCTACCTACAGTTGCAGATTCAACAAGTTTACGTAAATATAATTTTAAAATAAAAAATATGTCTGTTTGATCATAAAAAAATGTGTCTAATAGAATGTTAAACTTTCTATTTTGAACATTCTATTTTGTGTCTAATAGGTCATTTGTTACTCGACATGTTTCAATATTCACTAACTTTTTAGACACAAAACTGAAAGTTCCGAATTTCAGTAGACATAAAATTTAATTTTATATCTAATTTATCAATTGATTTTTAAAATTTAGAATAAATAAGGTCCTCTTTAAAAATATTATAATTTTATTTTTTTGAAAAAAATTATTTTCATCTTCAAATATTCTTACGTTCATACTTTTTGTAGTCGATTTATTGACTCCAATATATGTCTAAGTACACGTTTACGAACCTACATTATAATTCTCTAAACAATACCCGTCAAAATGGTCAAAGATTAAAAAAGATAAAAGAAATAAAATAATATAAGCTAAAAGTCAAAAAATGAGAGAGGTTATAAATTTGATTTAAGAAGAAAAAAAAACAGGCAAGCTGAAATATGGATTCAAACTAAAAGACTTTGACCAAGTATTTTTCAATAAATAAATAATTTAAATAAAGAAAGAAAAATAAATAAAAAGAATTATACACAACTTAGTCATAAATACTATAAAATATGAATGAATCATAAAATAAAAGCATGGGTTATACATTAATAATAATGTCAGTGGGGCCATGCATTAAATACGTTGTGTTTGATTTTTCTACCTACAAGACTACATCTAAAGACTAAGTCTATCAAAAGCAAATAAATAAAATAAATAATTAAAAAAAAAACTAATTATAATCGTATTTCAAATCTCGATTTCTACCCGTACCATGGTTGAATTTAAAACGTTCTATTTAATTCTTTATTTTTTTAATCATTAACATCTCTATTTAATAAATTTATATCCAATAAAAATTCTTTAATACGAGCCTAAGGTTACATCTCAAGAAATTTAGTTATCGTTAAAATTACAATTCTAAAGAAAAGAAAATTAATAATATTTAAAAAATATAAAGATTTAAATAATAATATTTAAAAAATTTAGGGATTAAATTGAAAAAAATTGGTTTTTTTTTTTAATTTTTTTTATCATTAAATAAAGAGGCCTCATGCCTAAAAGCTTCAATTTTGACACATGTTTGTCACAATAATTATGCTGATTTACTCTGTTCTTCACAAAAATGATTACCTCTCAACAACCAACAACCAAAGTTGTTTTGTTTTTTAATGTTTTGAAACGTTTTGCCACTATTATTGAACCGACATCTGATCTTCTCTAAAACATCAACTCAAACGTGCATTACTCTCACAAGATGCATGCAGGTAATACAAGAGAAGTAGTATACATTACGAGCTCGTTCGAGAAGTCTGGTATTTCTACACAAGATGCATCAGCATGAAAACCGAGCTATTTAAGTTTATGAGCGGTTGTTTTATGTCTAAAATACCCTCCTTTTGTTTGTCTTTACAACAACAAAATGGTCATGAATTCAAAAGGGTCTTTTGATACCCTTAAAGTCCAATGAATCAATACATTCTAAGCTATCCCTATGAAGATTATTCAATAGTTTCAACAACTCAGTTGCTTTCTCCTTTGTCCATTCACTACAACCAACTTGCAACAACAACAATAGCTTTTGAAACGCTCCCACTTGAAGTGCTTCTACTTTAGCCCTTCCATCTTCTTCTTCACTCTCATGCTTTACAAGCTTCCAAACAATCGACACCGATAACTCCGTCGCCAAATCCGAAACTCGAAGTATCTTTTTCACTATCACGGGCATCGTCAATGCGTGCGCGTACGCCTCTTCTCTTCCTTCTTTGCGCTCGCAAATCCCATCGAACGCTCCCAACGCCCTCTCGCAAACGCTTCTCTCGGCGTCGACGAGCGTTTCGAGTAGCAAAGAGACGAACCCCATTTCTAAAAGGACTTTTGTGAATCTTTGTGGATTGGAAGATGAAGCTATGATGTGATATGTTATGAAAAGTGAGGCTTTTTTTGATGATGAACAAATGGGCTCTTTTATGAGCTTCACTAATCCCTCTAATGCTCCTTGGATTTCACCTAATTTTGTTGCTTTTTGAGGGTATGATGAAATGATTTGTTTCAATATCAAAATTGAATTTCTTCTTCTTGATAAATCTCCTCCTTTCATGAACAACACGAGGGCTTGCAATGAAGCTTCTGATTTGAGGTTTTTAATGGATTCTTCTTGGAGAGGGAACATGATTGCCATGGCTGATATCATTTCTTCTAAAATCTCTATGCTTTTCTCCAATGGTTCTTGTTTTGACAACGCTTGGAATGCTGATGATATCACATGGCTTGCTCCATTGCCCATAATACATTTCTTGTTCCTTTCACTTTCTTTTGCCAACATCTTGATCTTCTCGACCGACGACTTGCATCCGTCACCATCCCCCCGCCGTGCTGCAGCGGTAATCTTCTCGAGAATGTCCCGAATCTGCACGGGACTCACCGGAACCCTTGGCGTCGGAATTCTCTCGACCCCGTAAGCTTTATTTTCAACACACCAATCTTGAATCATCTTCCTTATGTTATGATTTGGAATGGAATCAAGGGTTTGTAATGGCTGGTTGGTGATGGGGCAGCTGAAATTCCCTCCTTCAATCCATGTCTCAATACTAGCACGATCATATGTGATTCCAGTAGACAAAGTCACTGGATCTTTCATCATGTCCAGCGAAATTGGACACCGGAAATGGCTCGGGATCGTCAGCTCTCTCATGTCACTGCCGGTGCCCCTCGCCGTTCGCCGGGTGGCCCTCCGTTGTCTCCAAGAGGAAATCATGGTGAAAAGAAAAGATGGAATTGTGTTAAAGAGAAAAATGAGAGGGGATTGAGAGAGAGGGGGGAGTTTATAAGTGAATGGAGATTATAAAAATTAGGATGAAGAAAGAAAGAGAGATTAATAGAAGTTTGAATGTTGACCAAATTAGAGAGGAAAAAGAAAGGGAAGTTTGAAATGGTAAAATGAGTTTTATTTTATTTTATTTATTTATTTATTTATGAAATAATTGTTAAGAGAGAGAAAGAGAAAGGGTCCGAATGGATGAAAGACCAAGGATTTTCAAAAAAATCAAAGGTTTGACGTAAAAGGAGATGGCCGTCCACATAACCTCTGGTCGGTGGCTCTTTTCGCTGACTCTCACTACTAATATTGCTTTCTCAATTCTATATCTCCCACGCTTAAAATCCCCTTCAATTCTTTATAACATATATATATATATATATATAAAAGGTGGGTGGGACGGGAATTGGAGCGGGGTCAAGGAAGGATGAGAAATATAACCTTTATCCTCAAACCCGTTTAGCTAATAAAAAGAAATCTCTTATCGATCTCTTTCTCATTCCCGGTTTAAATGGACATCCTTCTCTCATTAGAACTGGATCCGAATAGATTACAACTCTTGATTTGTTCGCCTAACCAATTACAACTATCCTAAAATTCTATGATCTAACTTGAATGGTGGGTTAGAAAGAACAATAACTTAACTAAGGGAAGAAATTCTTTCAATAACGACTCGTTTTTCATAGGGTGGAATCATCAAATAAATTTATGTATCGAAATATATTATAAATTGAATTATAAATTTGATGTTAAGAAGAAAAATGTTCGACTGTAATGTTTTAATCTTATATTAAGAAGTTTGAATTTGAAGAATGTTGTGTGTTAGGTTAATGAGAAAATACAAAAAATGGTAAAACAAAGGCGCAATCTGAATCCGCGGGGTTTCACTGTTTGGGCACACCACAAGGCATCTACGCGCTATAGACGCGCAGTTTGAATCCGCGGCTTTCATTTGTTGGGCACGAAATTCGGCTTTCCCTTTATCACACCAAAAATATGTATCTTATATGTTCCAGGATGACCCACAAATACCCTATTTAAACCAACAATTCACAAACAAACCAAAATGACTTCAAACATCAATTCCAAAATTTTCCTTCAAACAACAGATCTAAATGCAAAATTATGCTCTAAGTTAAAGACTCGAGAGACATCCTCTTATGATATCATTCATAGTAATAAGAAACACTTTTTGTAATTATACCGATGATCTGCAATGGATAGAACAAACTACAGTAACATCTCAGCAATCTGAACGGCATTAAGCGCAGCGCCCTTTCGTATTTGATCACCACAGATGAAGATATCCAACCTACATACAGACGAGTCCCGTTAGTTTGTCTCATTTAACTTTTTCAATCAGGAAAATAAACAGAGAGCTATGAAACAGGTTGTGGATGGATGAGTCAGTCTAACCCTTTATTTCCATCTAGTGAAATATCCTGTCGGATCCTCCCAACTGCAACGTCGTCTTTGTTTGATACCTTCAGCGGTGTCGGAAATTGGTTGGCGGCCCGGTCGTCAATAATGACAACTCCAGGAGCATTTTTTAGAATCTCTCTAGCTGCGTCCTGCATAATACAGATATTGATATAAGCATAATGAAATTACAACTTCTATAGAGAAGAAGAGGGATTCTGGGTTGATCTACTGATACATGAAGTTAGAAATTTGAAGTAATATTACACCGTTTATGACCTCTCCCTAGTAGACTCGTTTTTAAAACCATGAGGCTGATAGCGTATGTAACAGGTCAAAGCGGACAATATCTGTTAACAGTGAACTAGGATCGTTACTGTTTATCTTTCATCCAAAAAGTAAAATTCTCGATTGATTTACGCATCAGGAGTGTGGGTTAAGGGAACAACATTGAGTAAACAAATTCGAGGGAAAAGAGAACACAAAATTTGGCCATGAACATATGCTACAAATTCTATAGAAACTAACTAGCATCGTAATCAATCAAAGAGTTTCTGATACAGTGAATTTCAAAACGTGTTCATCCTTGAAAGCATTGGAGCTCATCTCCAAACATCCCAAGCCATTACCTTCAAGACTACCCCTTGGGGGTCCTAACATGATATTTTCACAACCATGGTGGATTTCCGTTCCCCATTCGCAAGTCTGAGAAAAAGCACTCCGTTTTCTTTCTATTATAGAAACCTAGTTTTCATTAAGAACAATGAGAGAAAATACAAGGGCATCCAAGAAAAACAAGCCCACCGATGGAGCCATCAACAAAAAACACTTCATGATCATTTCATTCTCAACCAAAAATGCTATGCAATCAATAGAATCTCAAGCAGCATATGCAGTAGTATTATAGTACTGATCAAAACAATATTATCAAAATAAAATCTTACCTCATCAAGGGGATTCTCAAATTGAAGATTCACACTCTCAGCATGCGCACGCATGACAGGAACTCGAATACAAGTGGCAGTAACTTTAACACTTGCATCGCTCTTGAGGGGCATAAAGCAAGTCAGTCAGTGTAAGAAAGGATTCCATTTACCAATTTCCAAAGGAGAAAAAATTCACAAAAAGGTAATGCATGTAAGGGTCAGGTCAGAACGTAAGTGGCATCCATATTTCACATATCAACACTTACCCAAATTTTCCGAGTTTCTTTTACTAATTTCATTTCCTCTTCATTGTATCCATTTGAAAGAACAGATGCATTGTGGGAGAACAAATTGAAAGCATACTGCACCAAGTAGAAGAAGCTAAGAAAATTGCTACAGAAACTTGACCCTCAAAAAAGACACACAAAAGAAACTGACCTGATCCCTAAATATATTACAAGTTGGTGGTTTTCCTTCCAGAACCTTCAGAAAAGGGAAGAAATGAAAAATAGTTTACAGCCATTGGAATGGACTGAATAAAACATCCAAATGATAAGATGACGAGTAAAATACAATCCAAATTATGAGATAGATTAAGAAAAAAAAAAAAAAAACCTCACGAGTTTGTTGCACAAGCTCTTCCATGGCTGCTGCACCAGCACCACTAGCTGCTTGATACGTACTAACAACCATGCGTAACACCTGCCATTTTCAATAGCAATCAATCAATCAATCCAACATTAAGGGTGAGCTTGAATTGACACTTGGAACTTCTTAAGAAATCCATAGTATTTGATTGAATAAGATAAATCCATTTAAAAAATACTAAAACCGCTAAAAGAAACACTAAAATGCCCCATCCCTAAGAACATTGAGCTTTCTTCTAGTCTGCTATACAATATTTTCTAATCTGAACATTTAAATGCTTGTAAAAGAAGCATTTCTAGAAGTGATTCCACTTGATAGCAATATTAAGGGAACATAGCTTCCGTACCGTTACCAAAAATGTAAACAGACAAAAGAAATGAAATAGTCGACTTCAAAACCTTAGCGTGACGATGCAGAGGAGTGACCGCCATCAAGCAAATGATGGTAGAACAATTGGGATTAGCAATCAAAGCGCCCTTGCCGGTCCCGACCTTAATCCCCTTCATGGCGTCGGGATTAACCTCCGGAATAACAAGTGGCACATTCTCATCCATCCGAAAGGCAGAGCTATTATCAACCACAATCGTCCCCTTCTCAACGGCGAGAGGTCCAAACTTCTTGCTAATGGATCCCCCAGCGCTGAAGAGAGCAATGTCCACACCGTCGAAGCTATCCGCAGTGAGCTCCTCGACAATATGCTCTTGGCCATGGAAGTGAACGGACTTTCCAGCGGAGCGCTTGGAGGCCAGCATCTTGATTGAGCTATAAGGAAAGCCGCGATCGGAAAGGACGGAGAGAAATTCCTGGCCGACAGCGCCAGTGACACCGACGACAGCGAGAGAGGGTCCGTTCTCCTGATACGCCATGCGAACAAGTCTAGAGATGCGCCTTGGTTTAGGTTGAGGAGAAACAGGGGAGAAGAAGAAGGTGGTTCGTGAAGAAGCTAGCGCCGCCATTGTAGAGACAGAAAAAGCTTCAACGGAGCTGAGGCGGCCGGGGAACCCACAGAGTATCAGTGAAAACTGGAAGTGTGCCTGGTTTAGGGGTGTTCTAATGTAAATTTTATTTATAAGGCCCACGAATAAGAAGTCTTCCTCGAATCAGATGCGCCGAATAAGATGCTTACTCAATAAATAAATATTAGATTAATATAAATATTTTTAAATTTACTTTTTTTCTCCCAAAAATATATTCTTAAACTTTAAAACCCTTCCATATATTAAAAAATATACTTACTATTTTCTTTTATAAATTTAAATATTATTCTTAAAATACCCTTAAATTCTAAATAATTTTATTAATACCTTTTAAATTTTTTAGAAATTTTAATATATCTCTACATCGGTACCATATTTAAAAAAATATTTAATTAGTACCTTAACTGTGTCAAAAAAAAAATACGATGTAAACATTTCATCTACACCTCATAGATCATCTCTAAGTTTTTTATTTTTTAGTTTTTTAAAAGTTAAAAGGTATTAACATTTTTTTAATTTATTAACATCGTCAAAAAAGATTACTAGCAAAAAAAATTTCATATTTCAATATATATATATACCATCAATTCTACGATAGAAATAGAAAACGTCTTTGAGATATGAATATTTGGTCGCCTCGTTTAGGCACTCTTTCAGATGGGCTTGGGTTTTGCGATTTGGGCCAAGGTCAGTAGGGCCCAATGGTCCATTTAGCTGCCTCATAATTCTCATTTAGCTCGTCTTAAACTCTTGCTTTAGTAAGTATATTTAATCAAATTAAAAGAAAATTAGTATAGATGAATATAAAAATGGCAAGTAAGTAATGTAAGTTCTAAAGTTTTATGTCTAGTTTTATTTCATACTTGAATACCATTATCCGAGATCTTACATTTTCTAGAAAAACTAGCTACTAGGCTCTACTAGCTCTTCAATTTGCATTTATTTTGCGTCTTTATAGGGGTAGATCGATTATCTTTATATCAAATAGTCGACAAATCAAAAGTCACAATCATGCTTTGTTGGGAGCAAGGCAAGATA